TGTGTGTGCGTGTGTGCGTGTGTGTGTGTGTGTGTGTGTGTGTGTGTGTGTGTGTGTGTGTTATGTTACCTTTTTAGGACCTTTTCCATTATAAACTATGGTGGCCCTGGAGTGAAAAACATCACAACAAATCACACAGCTATTCACAAAACACTGCAACAGATTACACAACAGGACGACCATGGCAAATAAGAAAACTACAGAAAATACAAAAACACTAAGATGAAACACAACAACAGAAAATAAAAAAACACAACACCAAATTACAAAACACAACACCAAGTAAATTACAAAACACAGGGACGAAAAACACAACCGCCAATTACAAAATGGCAAGTCACAAAACACAGAGAGCAAATAAGAGAACACAACAACAAATCCCCAAAGACCACAGTAAATAAGAAAACACAGTTTGTCACCATCTCCTTCCTGTTAAAAGTCGGAGTTCAGTCGTCCACTCGGAGACAAGCCTTGTCAATTGTCTCTTCACTAGAAGATAATGCTGTTGTGTTTTGTGTTTCAGGGCCACCGTAATTAACACGAGGATCAAAGCCCAGTTCTAAATGGGTATTTTTGATCTTGTTCAATTATAGGGTGAAGTACGTTAACGGTTTGGTGTGTGTGTGTGTGTGTATGTGTGTGTGTGTGTATTTCTTGCAGCTTCAGATCATCTTCATATCATATCAGACTCGTTGAGGAGAAGCAGTCATTATGTGGAATATAGAGAATCCTCTCCTCACGGTCACTGCAGGTCCCACACTCCCCAAACTCCCCAAACTCTACAGCAGCAGCAGCAGCAGCAGCTCATCTGTGTAACTCATCACTCTGCAGCTTGTCCATTGAGTGTGTATCAGTGTGTGATATCTTCTACATGACCGCATGTATATGAGTGTCTGTTTTCATTGTGTGTTTACAGTGTCTTACAAGTGTGTCCACATGTCTCTTGCAGGGTTTATAGCTTGTGTTTAGTTTATTGTTATCAAGTTTATTGTTATCATTTACTAAAGTAATGTTGTAAATTGTATTAGCTCCATTAGATTATTGAGAGATACACTGTATTCTATACACTATTTTTTTCTTTACCAGAAACTCATTTTATATTCACGGCCATCTTATAAGACGTATTGTATCTTGTTGAACTGACTTCTCAAGCTGGGGTGGCTGTGGCTCTGAGGGTAGAGCGGTCATCCTCTAACCGGAAAGTCGGCAGTTCAATCCCAGTCTTTTCCATTCTGCGTGCTAAAGTGTCCTTGGCCAAGATGCTCAAACCCATAATAGTACTCTAAATTTCTATGAGTGGTCATCAAGACTAGAAAAGTTCTGTATAAATACAGACAATATTGATATTTTTTATTTCAATAATATTTTGATATTCAATATAACAGAGTCAGAATGTGTAATGAGTCATTTATTTATGTTGCTTTTACATACAGACTTTTACTGAAGTACATTTTTGAATGCACAACTTACTTACTTCTTCCACCTCTGTTTTTTGTGTATATCAGTATATGTATTTTTTTGTGCAGTGTAAGACTGTGCTGGTAAACACAAGTTGAGACATTTCAAGTGTTGACACCAGGTCGGTCCTGGTGCCTCGGGCAGGTGAGACATGTTTAGGTTAAGTGCTTTGATTATGACTCAAATGTGAGTCAGGAGGCTCTGTGGCCTGTTGGGAGCTGGCAGAGGAACACAGAAGAGAAGGGGGCGGTGCAAGTTGCAAGCAGGTGATGTCATGTGCGTGTGATTTTAAGGAAGTGTAAATGATGGAGGGGCAGGCGACATGATGAGATGGAGATCAGTGGGTTGTTGAAGCTGTTAGGAACAGACTCACAGTGACCACTGGATCAGGGCACTCACTAATGTGCATAGGAACAGAGTGTAAACACGCTCAGAACAGCATCGACATGAGAACTAGAAAGCATCTTTTTTAGTTAGTCAAGTAAAACAAGGTAACTCTGGGGGGTATTGTCTGGTCACTATTGCATTAACCATGGGCTGAGGCATGCAGCTGTACAGCAAGTCACAGGGGTCTTTAGGCTGTGGCACAAAACCTGAGGCAAAGCTTAACTTTGACATCTCTTGACCCTCAGATTTCTTTTAATGGAATCCCTTAAATAGTAAATGAAGTATTCAGGGGTTTTTGCCAAGCTAAATCATGACAATTTACTTGATACAAAATCATACTCATCTTCCTCTTTTTACTCAGTGTTGAGAAATTCTGTGAAACAATGTGCTATTGATTTCCTTTATCTCTGTATTGACACAACTCCTGCACAAGCACTTGAATTCTGTGTAGCTGTTGCGTTTCATCCCTTTCATCAGTCAGCAGTGATGAGAGGAACTGAGCTGATAACGTCTCGCTACATTGAACAAAAAGAGCTGCAGTCACACATGAAACCACAACACAACTGTGCGTATAACAAACTGTGGTTTATGATACTTGTACTTGCTCTGTGGGCAGAAGACTAGATGCCACACTAGATGGATGTGTTCTTCTTACTCGTCTTCCTCCTTTGTTTGTGTGTGCAAGTGAGCAAGAGAGAGACATAGAGGATCAGTTGGTTTCAGCTGACGATGCTGTGAAGGAAGTGGTAACATCAGTTGCTATCATTTTCCTTCAGGAAATGACACATTAGCTTGCCCAACCTCGCCTACACACACACACGCACACACAGCAAGTGACACATTTATGACGGACACATACCCACTTACATATATCACAAATAGCATGTCTCCTCTGCAATCCTCCATCCTTCTATTTACCAGCAGCCAGTGTGTTACTGCATCTGTGATAAGTCATCTTTTATAGTCAGGTCCATTCCCACACTTGTCAGATATTGTGGGATTCAAGTCTATTGTCTGAGTAACCAGAGTTTATGGCTGTGGAGACAGCACTATACAGTCAACACACACACACATACACACACAGTTGTCAACACATATGCCAACACAAAAGGCAAAGTGAGGCTAAAGAACTCGAGACAGTGCAGCAGTGACTGAAAACTAAACTCACTGACTTAAAAGATTATAGATGTATGTGGGCAACTGGGTAGTCTGTTCAACTCAAAACCTCACAATATCACTGGACT